CAAAAACTTTAATCTTTTAGAATATTTAAATTATCATTTGATATCGTTTATGTGATGTTTATTCGGAAGAAAATAAAGCCGTAAGTAAAAGCATTTAACTGCAATTGTAAACTAATAGATTTTTTGTTAAAGAAATTATTTTTATTGTTGTTGTTGTTAAAAATTAGTTAAAAAAAAATAAGTGTTTTAAGTTAAAACTTTTTATCATATTTAATATTAAGTTTTATATTTCATAAGTTTAAAAACATTTAAATTTAAAAAAAGAAATATTTTCAATTTATTTTATTAAATTTAAATACTTTTTTATTAATTATAGTTTTTAGTAAATTAATTTATTAAATTTAGTTAAAATTTATTCATTTAATTTTAAAACAGAGCATTTTAAAATTTTTTAATTTTAAAATGCTCCCTTTTTTTTATGATGAAATTTCCAAAGTAAAAAAAGATTTAATAAATTTAATTCAAGTTACTTTAAAATGTTCGTATTACATATAACTTTATTTTCATTTCAGTTAAGTTTCAGGTAAGTTCCAAATACTGGTCTGAATAATGCGCTTAACAAAAGCGCATTATTTTCCAGTTTTATTTTTCCATTATTTTACAGTTTCATTGATTATTTACAGAAGCGTATTATTCATTTTATAATTACAACTTAATAAATGACATCAATACAAAAAAGTTCTTTTTAACTCGAGTTATAAATGCAAAAAAATTAAGTTTAAATAAGTATAAGTTTTTTTTACAAGAAGACTTTTTTTAATCAACATTAAAACTTTATTTTTTTTTATAACAACATTGTTCAATTTAAAGCTATTTCGTTTCAAAGACTAACTATTGTTAGTCTTTGAAACAAATAGTTTTTAATGTCATTTTAAATTTAATTACAATGAAGTAAAAACGCAACTGACGTAATTTAACTTTTAACAATGTAAATATCTTTATTGAGTAAAGTTACATTTATTCACGTTTCGCTTTTCCGTAACGCAGTCAAATCTCGCAACAAGACCTGTATATATATATATATATATATATATATATATATATATATATATATATATATATATATATATATATATATATATATATATATATATATATATACACACACACACACACATATACACATATACATATATATATATATATTTATATATATATATACACATATACATATACATACATATATATATATATATATATATATATATATATATATATATATATATATATATATATATATATATATATATATATACACACACACACACACATATACACATATACATATATATATATATTTATATATATATATACACATATACATATACATACATATATATATATATATATATATATATATATATATATATATATATATATATATATATATATATATATATATATATATATATATATATATTATCTAAACTGCCTTATTATCTATTATATATTATCTATTAACTGCCTTATTGAAATGCTGAGCTTTGTAACATTTGTTAATAAAATAATTCAATATAATTAGAAATGCAATTTCATGTTTTTTAAAGACAAATAACCTACAAGTAAATAAAGTCTGTTTGGAGGGTAACATTTTAACATTTAAATTGTTTGTAGCTCTATGAGTGAAGAACAAAGTTATAGTAGCAATGAAGATTATGCGAAACCTTCTTCCAGTAAAAGGCAAAGAACTGATTTGCAGTACGTTTGGTAATTGCAACAAAACTGAGTTACAAAGTAGGCCCACAGAGTATGTGAAACTTTGTACAAAAGAGGAGTTTCCATACCTATTCCAACTCAGAGTGGCATCTACAAAGCAGTAATAAAAGAAGGAGAAAAGCTAAAAAGAAATTTCAAGGAAAATTTAAAAAATGAACACTGGTGTTTACACTTTGATGGTAAGAATATACATAAGGAATATCAGGTAGTTGTTTTGAAAAATGAAACTAGGGAAGTCAGACTTGCTGTCCTTCAATTGACAAATGGAAAAGGTGAGACAATATTCAATGGAATAAAAACTGTGCTTAACAAATATGAACTATGGCCCTCAATAAAAATGATTATTTCTGATACAACTGCAGCTAATACTGAAAAAAATCTGGAAGCTGTCACACTGTTGCAGAAGCACTTTGAAGATATTGGATTAGAAAAACCTGTGTTTATTGGTTGTCAACACCAGATTCTGGATACGATTTTGAAACACGTCATGAATGATTATTTTGGGGGTACAACGAATTTACCAAACATCTGTTATTCTTTTATTTCACAAATAAAAGGACACTATGAACAATTGAAGAAATCATTTGATAATACAGGAAAAGAACAGGAGAAAGTAGATTAAGATTGCTGGCAAGATGACATGTCCTTTCTTGATCACTTAGTATCATGCTACAGGTATTTCAAAAGTACAGGAAGTTTCCCAAAAGTGCATTTTCTATCACTTCCATCTATCAGTAATGCAAGATGGAACTCAAGAGCCATTTATATTTTGCTTAGTTTCATCCTAAAGAGTTTAGACAAACAGCTAAAGTAGATTGTGATTTTATTTATGGTTCATGGTCAAAAGCCTAGTTCTCTTCTCAGTTCTTCAATCTTGCCAACTTTGATAATTTGTCAGAAGCTTGTAAAGAGTATCCTAAGGCTTTGCGCTCATTGAGGAAGTTTTAGTCAGTGGAGCCTACGCCTATAGCAACCCTACGTTCAAATATCTGTACAGAGTGTGCCATTAAAGTAATGCAAGATCTGCTTCCACTCTGCAGATCGACTGAAAAGTTGAATGTTAAATTTCTTTTAAGTAATGAACATTAGAAAAATACTGGTATATTTATTTATCGGTGATGTATTGTAAAATGTAAAATATTGTTGTAAAATGATGCAACTTTTATGTGAATATACTTACATGTTATATCCTAGACACATCATTTTCTCATTTGGAGGGTGAACTTTTTTTAAGCGAAAAGAAAAATACTTATTTGTTATTTGTACACAAAACCTCCACTAATTATCATATGGGCATATAGGTTTATGAAATTATCATATCTCTAATATATATATATATATATATATATATATATATATATATATATATATATATATATATATATATATATATATATATATATATATATATATATATATATATATATATATATATATATATATATATATATATATTAGGAAGCACAACATGATAAATAAACATTACCATACAGTATGCCTAGATATATAACTAACTTATAGCTAATTAAATTTTTTATTAAAAATATAAGTTAAATTGGAATGTTTACATGTAATTGTCCTTTTAATGATCATATACTAAATATATACTAGAAGATAGGAAAACTATTTCAAAACATATGCCAAAAAAAAACTTAAATATTGCTTAAAAAAAGAAGAAAAACACCAAAAAAAAAACCGCCCAAAAAAAACATATTTTTTTACAACTCCAAGAGTTATACAATCCACCAGCATCAATGCCATATCCAACAACACCATCAACGTCTTCACAAATAGCACCAGCAACTTTATCAACAGCATTACCACAACCAAGTAATGACTCTAAAACTCTATTTTTATTTAAATAAAGTTTTTTTTCCTACTTAGTTATTAGTTAGATTGCTAATATTTAACTGATTATTTAACTCAAAATTAAAAAAAAAAGAAGTTAATTAAAAAAAAATTATGCTGTAAATAATTAAGACAGCAAAATTACTGCAACTTAGATTTTATTGGGCTAATTTTGTCACCCCGTTTTTTCTGTTCCTATTAATAAAAAAATTTCTTTTTTTTTCTTAAATTTTTGAAGTTAAAAAGAAAAAAGTTTATTAAATTTAAAGAATTGGTGGCAAAATTACCCTTACTCTCAGACCTTCTCTATATCATTTAACTCTCAGACCTTCTCTATATCAATTAACTGTTAGACCTTCTCTATATCATTTAACTCTCAGGCCTTCTCTATATCGTTTAACTTTCAGGCCTTGTGATGAGGTTTTCTTGCATTATGGAATGTAAATGTAACTTTACTTAATATACATATTTATATTACTAAAATTTAAATTACATTAGTTGCATATTTTTAAGTTCTGTATGGTAATTAAATTTAATTTGAAATCATGTTGAAAATCATTTAAAGTGTAAATATATTTAAATGAAACAATATTGTTATAAAAAAAAATTAATAAAATTTAGAGCTGTTTTAAAAAAAAATATCCTTATATTAATAAACTTCTACTTCCTCTTTATTTTTTTAAATATTCATAACATCGTCTTATGTTTGCTTTCTCTATTTTTTTTTTTTTTTTACTACTCATTAACTAATCATTTATAATTGATGTTCATTCTATGATCTGAAAAATGAATGAAAATGAAAACTTTTGTTAAAAGGTAAATTTAAAACTAAAAAAAATCATCTTTTCATAAATTTGTTACATAAAGTTTACTAAAAAATTATCTAAAAAAATTTTGCCCGCAGGCTAGATCATTGTTTACTCGGCAATGCATTTATATACAGTTAAAAGCATTAAGCACTTTTGTAAGTGGATGAAAAAAACTTATTGATTTGAAACTATAAATAAATAAACAAAATTGTTGAATGTAAAGCAAATATAAAAAAGTTAAATCAAATTTGATAAAAAGAATTTTTTTTTTTTAACATAGTTTAGAAATTTTTAAAATTAAAAATGAAATCATAAAATAATTCATTTTAAATTAAAAAAAAATTTTAATGAAATAAATTAAAAATTAATATTTAATGATGAATTTAATTTAATTATAATAAAATAAATTTAAATTAAAAACTTTTTTAAAATAGAAATTAGAAAAAAAATTATGTATCTGTTTTATTTTATCCGAAAAAAAAAAAAAAAAAAAAAAAAATTATAGTTGCGGTGAAAATGTTTTTTTACAACAATTAAATGCTGCTTAATATCTTCTGCATAAAATATTTCAAAAGTTTAAATTATCTATTTGAAAAAGTTTTGGCGTAAATGGACAAAATATCTTACCTGGATTAAGATTCCATAATCGAGTTAATTCTAAAGTTCCCATGTTGATTTTTTTACTCTGATTCAACACAAAATCATCACCAATAGAGCGCTTTGCTTTTTTTGGAGCTACTTCTGTTTCAGTACTAGACTTTACTTTAGCGAAACTGGGACAACCTTCATTCTTCCAATTTATCCAGTTTTCTTCTCTACTCAAAATATGCTTTATGGTTTCACAAAATTTTTTGCCATCAGGTGGAGTTTCACAAATAGAATTGTATACAATATCAGTGGTTTCATTAATCCAGTTTGTTTGAGTGTCATTCAGTACCTGATTAGGGGCTTTAAATTTACTTGTTCCAGACAGGTATTGAAATAGAATAAGAACCTGGACCAAAAAATTTCTCCGAAAATTGCTGTCATTTAATTGAAAATTAAAAAGTTTTTCATTAGTTAAGTATTTTGCAAAATAGTTGTTTGCAGTTTGCTTTATTTGATCAACATCAATTGGCATGTCAATTGATTTTCTTTTGCGTACATTAAATTCCAGCTTGAAACTTGTAAAGATTTTGAGAACCTAAACATTATATATTTTTATATATATAAATATATATATATATATATATATATATATATATATATATATATATATATATATATATATATATATATATATATATATATATATATATACACACACACCTTATTAACAAATTAATAATTACCAACTCCAAGTTTTAAGGAACTAGAACCCCTCTCCCAGCCAAACTCAATCTTCTTTTAAAACCTGGCCCTGGCAAAAAACTTTTCTTAGGCTTTAACAGTACTAAATTGTAGTTATAATTAAATTTTTGCTTATTTTATTGCTTTTTGATATTATGTATAAATATATAATTTAATGTATCATTTTATATGTATATAAGGGTGTTCCGAAAAAAAAAGAAGCCTTTTAAGCTTTTCCCATTCTTTAATGACCAAAAAGGTCCTACCCCATACTCTGAGGCTATAAACAAATTTTTTTGTTCATTTCAAAGTGATATCTGCAAAACTTCATTTTTTTTAAAAAAAATGCAACTTTTAGGGAAAAAAACATTTAGTCCTTATTCAGTTTCTTTCTGTTGTCTCAGACAATGAGCATTAGATTCTGTTTCATGTCATCAGAACTTTAGCCTCAAACAAAGTCCTGAAACAGTATGATATTCTTTGATTTTAAAAACTTTTCAAATAGATCAAGCATTTCACAGGCATTTCCCTTGATCCACTACTCTAACTCTCAAACTGGAGCCTCAGCTATCTTTATCACAATCCAGCTCTGGGAGACTACCAGTTCAGTAAGCTCTATTGACTTTATAAAAAACAGTAGCTTAGGTTTCCCTGTATGAAATTGCTCGGAGACATCACTTGACCAACATCTTATTCTTTACCTTCTCTGTAACATCGTTGTTAGCTAGGACCAGTATAATTAACTATTCTGTAAAGAACCTGGCATGTCACTGCATGCTGATAAGAAAGGCCTGTCCTAGTTTTGGGTAGAAGTCCCATATTTTAAAATATGAATTATAGGTAAAGAATAAGATGTTAAAGATGTCAAGCCATTTGAAGTTGACTTGTTCACCATAAATGCTTTTAAGAACCAGGGTCATTAGCATGAAGAAATAAATAATACCGCTGTCTTTACCATTTTCTTCTTTCCTCATTTATCACATGGGCTACCTTTTAAGTCATCTGCAGGGTCAGCAGGTATAGAGCATCTGCCATGAACGATAAGAAGAAGTTATTATTATTAAATATATAAAACAATATTAAAAATGTTCTCTCCACTTAAAATAAATATATATAAATTAAAGCATACTAACAATTTTAATACACTTTAACTATACCTGGTTTCATGACTCCAAACTCCAAATTAATAAAAATGAAACCTTGGTATATCTTCTCCTAAATAGAAGACAACTAGTTCACAGAGCTTTTTCTGTTAAATGTCTTTGTGGTTAATGGCTTTTTACATCCTTGCTTTTTACTCTTAATACTAGACCAGGCTTTGTCCAATCTTATATATAGTGCTCTTCTAGGTCCTTTTGTTTTCTCACCAGTAAGGGTTTAAATAATGGGAGTTGTGTAACTCAAACATGAGCTGCCAGCAGAGAAACTAGAAGAAAGGAAACCTTGAGAAAATTTGTAAGAATAGAAATGGTGGTAACAAATACTCCAGTATTGGGAGCAATGGTATCACAACATGTCTCCTTATGAAATCTTCGCACATCATGGTTAATCTACAAATGCTGGAAACCTAGTTTAGATTTCCTAAACAAATGAGTTTGCAATACTTAGTATAGAGCTTCAAAGTAAAGCTCTAAGTATTGTAAGAAACCAGAACCAGAAATGATGAGTTCTCCAAAACCAACATTAATTACAAAAACAAGGCTATATATATCTAAGCATATTTCCAATGCTGGAGAGATGGCTCACAGGGTTAGGGTTTCTTCATCATCTCAAAAATTTCAAAAATGTGTAACCAAAACTGAGTAATTAAAATTACCTTTTTAATTGACCAACAGCAACTAAATTTGGCATGCTTTTTTCAATAAGTATAATGCTTATAAACTTATAAAGGTTCAGATTTGTTAAAAATAAAATAAGCAAACGACAAGTATATTGTTGAGCCCAACTCTTAATTACATGCTTTTTGCATAATATAAGCACAATTCTATTGACACTGAAAATCTCATTCTTATTTGATGCATGAGAACCATTTAATGAAGCTGTTGTGTTATTTTGGTGCTAAAGAAAAACATGTACCAGAAGAAAGTTTTTTAGTCTTTCTTACAAACATAAAATAAAACCAACACTTTCTTAAGTTAAAGGTTTTTTCTTAGCATCTTTGGTGTTTTTTGTTAGCATCAACTTTTTGTGTAAGCATGCCCAAACCTGTTTCAAAAATAAACTTGCTTATAAAAACATACATTAGACTTGGCATAATAAGTTTAATAATAATTAAAAAAAAGACGAGAAAAAATTTCTTCAGCAACTAAAAAAAAAACTTTTTGACAGCTGATTTTTTTTCAATGATTCTCAACCTCAAGGGACTTCAGAGAATGCGAAAAACTTGAGAGGGAAAAAAAAGTATGTTCCTGGGACACCTTAATGTAAACCTAAGTTTTTTGCATATACAGTTTGGGCAGATAAAGCATTTTTTTGATGTTTGAGAGTTTTACTAACTTCCAAATATTAAGCAAACTTAAAAAATTTATATGTTCATCTTAAGTCAGATAAGGTTGATTTGCAATAAGTTGAGATAATTGCAGCTTGAGAAAAAAAAAAAAACTAAAATTTTTCCTACACCTGCCTTAAATGTGAGAGCAACGTTGAAAAATTTTTTTATTTCTTTTTTTTAACTAAGTTTATAACTAATTCACAGTATAAAGGGATTATTTTTTCAAATTTAAAATTTATTGATGAATTTAATTGAGAATAGTAAAAATATATTTTAGGGGTTGTTCATAAATTACATCACACAATTTTTAATTGTTTTTGACCCCCCTACCCCCACCACAAAATTGTAACACTTATTACACAATTGTAGCAAGTCCTACTACTACACAATTGTAGCAAGTCTTGTATGAGTTGTCACAAAACCACTAACCCCCCTCCTTTTCTTAGAGTGTAAAGTAATTTATGGACTGCCCCTTATCAATTAGTTGCTCTCAGGCATGTGTAGAAAAATTTTAAAGATAGGTTGTTTTTTTTTATAAAAATTCTTATTCACTCCCAAAAAGGCTTCAAGCAACCACTATTGAGTTGGGAGTTACTAGAGAAAAAAAAAGGAGTTATAGAGCAAGGAAACAGTTGACAGAAGACTTGAAAAGTTTAAGGTTGTATGAATCAGGAAAACATGAAGATAGGAGAGAGTTCCAAAGAATTGAAATGCTGGGAAAAGAACTAGACGAATAAAACTTTTTAGAGCATGCAGATACAGTCAAAGAATGAGACTTTGCTGAATGAATCAAGCGCAAATGAGTTTTAGTTGATGGAACTAGATACAATAACTCCTTTGAGCAGCGAGCATGATAGTATTTGTAGAAAAGAGAAAGAGATGCAATTTTACGACGTTGGGAAAAAGGCTTAAGCTTAGCAGATAGTGTGGATCCAACTATGTTTACAATGCATTTTTAGTCTAGAAGAGAAAGAGCATCATTAGAAGAACCAACCCAAATATGAAAGCATTATTCCATACAGGGACAAAAAAGTGATTTGTAGAGGTAGAAAATGGAATTAAGAGAAAGAAAACAGCAAGCACAATAAAGACAAGCAATCTTAGCAGATGCTAATTTAATAATTGATTGTATGTATAGTTTCCATGAAAAGTCAGTAGTAAACAATATTCCATGAAGACATAAAAAAGAGGACTCAGAGAGATGGTTGCCATTCATTCAGGGTTGCAAAAAAAACATTTTTTTTGAAAAAAAAACCAATAACCATGGGTTTTTTAAAAAAACCAAAAAAACAATGGTTTTTTTGGTTTAAACTTCTTTTTTTCAAAAAAGCCATTTAATCAACTTTTTCAATTAAAAAAAAAAGCATTAGTCATTAAACTTGAGTAAATTATATTTTCTATTGAAATTACTATTGTAATGCATCAACCAATATATCATTATTTAATGTTCTGTATACAAAAACAAGCTTTGCCACTTTTTTTACTCCCATCTTGTTTTTCAACTTAGAATGAACAAGCCCAAAAGTCGAAAAAAAAAATTTAAATTCCAGCACTCCAGGCTGATACGTTTAACAAACCTTTAATATCCATGATATTGCAGTCCAAAGTTTTAGAGATTTCCATTGGTGGAAATCTCTAAAATCAAACTGTGTGAAACAAACATCACATATATAAACAGTCTGCAATTATTTACACAATTTATCAGCTTCACAGATTTTTAGTGGTTTTGTTGAACATTTATATGATTTAAAAAACTTAATTTTTAAACAACAATTCTTTTATTTTATCCACTCACCAGTTCTAAATATCATAAAAGGTATTTACTAATGTATATCTAACTAATGTATAAGAAAAATCAGACCTAAGGAACAACTTACTCTAGCAGCCTTATAAATAACATTTTTAACATTTTAGTAATTAACAATGATCAGCAATGATTGTTTTTCTGATATTTACTTATTTCAGCATCCTAAAGGTTTTCTAAAAAATTGTTCAAAACAATGTTGCAAATTTTAACCAAATTTTTGGTTATTGGACATTTCTAAAAATAGATTCACTATCAAATACTAAATTGTTTTAATAAAAAATAACATAACCATGGAAAGTTAAATTCTAGTTCAAACTTTTGAAATGTATAAAAATATTAAATGAGCAATAAATATAATTAAGCAGAATATATGAATCGCTAACACTTAGCGATTCATATATTCTGCTTAATTATATTTATTGCTCATTTAATAATTTTATACATTTCAAAAGTTTGAACTAGAATTTAACTTTCCATGGTAATGTTATTTTTTATTAAAACAAATTATTGCCATTATCTTTGAATTTTTGCTCTGAGATATTTTTAAAAAAGTCAA